TGTTTGTATATCTATATTTTTTCTTGACTGTACACCGCCTTGAGTCCTATGGGAGAAAGGTGGTATAGAAATATAATAAATAAATAAATAAATAAATAAATAAATAAATAAATAAACATTGTCTTTCTCATTTATTCTTTAGGATATAGAGTACTTAAATCCTTGATACATCATGTGCTTGACATCGGTCTGTCTGTCTGTCTGTCTGTCTGTCTATCTATCTATCTATCTATCTATCTATCTATCTATCTATCTATCTAATTACAGCAAGGGAAACATGAAAGGAAGAAATCACCCCACCCCTACCCCAGCCACTGGAAGAGAAAATGCATACTATTTAAAGATTGAGCAAAAATTAAAGCATGGGCTGCGCTGGGAAAATACTTAATTTGTCACAACTTTTGTGTTGTAATGGGGGTTAAGACTTTGTTTGAATGAAAATGTCAATTTCTTTTTGTGGTTAGGGCTGTTAGCAAACAATGAACAATACTGAAACTGCAGAGTGAAAGAGGGAAATCTCCACCATCATATTAACATTGCATTGAAACAGTTCACCACTTCCTCCCCTTGCTATTTGATACTTCACACAAACTGTGAAATCTGTTACCATCAGATATGGCAGCATTTTTAGGATAATATTTCTGTAAGATCTTTATCGCTCTATATGTTACAATCATAATTCCACTGATTAGCCATCAAGTCAGTATCGTCAGTGGCAGAGAGACCGCATAGAATATGATAGGAAATTCGTAAGGTTCATTTCAAGTTGACTACCAATTAATAATAGCAATTTGATTTACTTTTGTAGTGTTATAACCAGGGGTGAAATCCAGCAAGTTCTGACAGGTTCTGGAGAACTGGAAGCAGAAAATTTGAGCAGTTCGGAGAACTGGTAGCGGAAATTTTGAGTAGTTCGGAGAACTGGCAAATACCATCTCTGGCTGGCCCCAGAGTGGGGAGGGAATGGGGATTTTGCAGTATCCTTCCTGTTAGGGTGTGTGTAAAAAAGTATTTGTTGCTTGTGCAATGAGCAGAGCAGAAACACACAGGGAAGGAGATAAACGTGCAGCTCTTGTGAGAAAAATACTTTATATACAAGATAATAAGCAGTCTCGGTGTAGGTAAAACAGTCCAAGGTCATAAACAGTAATATCAGTCCAGTAAGTATCTTCCCTTACCAAAGCAAACAGACTTTAGTAACTCTCGGTATACAGTACCATATAACAATCCAGTCTAACACCAATCAGCAGAAAGACGCAGGAAGCAACAGGAACAGGTACAATCAGGAACAAAGAATGCTTCTCTGCGCTGCTTATGTATGCACTGTAGCCTAATTACAGGGTTCAGCAAACTCTGATTACGTGGCTCAGTTGTTTCTTAAAGAAACAGATATATTGCCTGGCCAACAAGTTAGGAGTAAGCTACAAGCTGAACCTAACACTTCCCCTGGAGTGGGGTGGGAATGGAGATTTTGCAGTATCCTTCCCCTGCCATGCACACCAAGCCACACCCACCAAGCCACGCCCACAGTACCAGTAGTAAAAAAAATTGGATTTCACCCCTGGTTATAACCCAGGGGCAATCTTTTTGTGCCTTGCTTTTTTGAAAACTAAAAAAATAGCATACTTTGCTAAATTCCACAGTTTGGCCTTCAAATGTCAGCATTACAAACTGCTGAGGAGATTACAAGAGGTTGGGATTCCATGGGAACTTAACTCTCATTTGAGAACCCAACAAAATGTGCATCAGAGTCAACTGAAACCTTGAAATACGTAATGTCAACATATTCATCAACCATTAAGGGGGCTTGATAAGAAATGAATAATGAGAAAGGGGAGCTAAAGCAGAGAAGTCTGTATAACAAGAAAAAATTTCTGAAGCCTGATTTGAGGGGGAATTTACAGACTTTAACCCAGTCTGAGTGTGGCTTTTCTTGCAGGGAGGCAATTCCTACCATTTATAAGACACAATCTTGTCAGCAGCCTTTCCTCTTCAAAATAAATAGTTATCAAATTTGCATGACAAATGTTAAGAGGATAATAGCCTTTTGCTACTCTAGATAAGCCTTCTGAGAAACATGTTTTAAAACTGGTAATATTTCAGTGTTTATGTTTTTTCTAAATCAAGACTAATTAAAATATTGTGGGGTTCAAGCTTATCACTTAAGCCCTGCTCTTCTGTCAATTTTTGAAATTCTCCCATGGACACTTTAACTAGATTCCCAAAGAATTCCAAATGTATTTGGCTATAGCATTATTCTTGACCTTATACAAACTTTCAAGATTAACTGTGGGGATGTTATGATCTTGCCAACTAAAAATAAAACTCTTTAAAAGTTCTTTCCCACCATACATTTATGAGACCAGACTACTAGTGTTCACCATTATTATTTTTTATTTTTTTAAAAAAGGCAGACTGACAAAGAAGAAAACTTAATTTGGATTGGAATCCAAATTATGTTCGGAACATGACAGTTCAGTGCCATTTCAAAATTAAAACAAGGCTGATTCTTTCACACTTCTTTGTTAGTATTATTAGGTGTCTTTGAAACAACTTGAAACCATTTGGCCTTTATACATTGCCATACACAGGAATTAAGCATTCCATTTTCTTAAAAATCTGCACTCCCCCCCCCATCCAATTGTTCGGAAAAGCGTTGTGCAAGACGTTTCATAATTAATGTGGGTTTCTTCCTCACATTTACCAGAAATCCCTCAAGAAAAAAAGAAAAAAGAAAAGCCAAGACTTTCCAGCTGGTTGTGAGAAAGGCTAATAAAACCAAGCCTTAGGGTGTTTGTCTCAGCTTTCACTGTCGATCTTTCCTCATCCTGCCAGTAATGCAGAAGGGAAGACAAAAAGAACTTATGGAGGGTTCAAGGCCATTCTAAAGGATAACTTATTTGGGATCACAGCAGATGCATGGATTTTACAGATTATTACACTTCCTGTTCCTAGGAAGTGGAAGACCAATAAAAATGGCACCACCAAAGATCCTCCTATCTTTAGCCATTTTTCTCCAAGTTAGTATATAGAAGAATTTCTTGGAGGAGTGTGTTGTGGCATTAATATAGAAGAGTGAGCTACATTTATATTGGGAGAGTGCAATTTCTGAACTGGGGAAACTCAGTCCCACAATTCCAGGTTTGGCCATAAAGCATCTTGCTAGGTGCCGATTGCTGCTTTTATTATTGTTGATGTTGTCACCAACATCAAATGGAGAAAATACTTCCAAACTGCTGTCCTTTGAGAGAACTAAGTCACAACATTCCTATGCTGAACTATTTATCATGACTGATCAGAGGTGAAGATACTGTACAAGTGTTGCAATGGAAACATGTTTCAAAAAAACATGTTTTAACTGATTTTTCCTCCCTGTGGACAAGCTGCTTTCAAAAGTTAAGCTGCCCACAGATAACTACAATCCATAAAAACCCTCATGCTTTCAGACGGAATTACCATGTTCGCACTCACTTGCCTAACAAGCTAAAGTATGTACAATGACGCTAGATGATGGGAACTATAGACCTTTGCTTATCAGTCTAAATACAGGCTGGAGCAACACGGAACAGGAAATGGACACAGTGAAAATAGGTTTCAGGAAGAACCAGAACCAGCCAACTTTCTCCATAATAGCTCTAGAATAGATGTAAGGAGTCATAACAGCCATTTCTAAATTTAGGACTGGAACAGAACTTTTCAGTGAATGGAGTGAACTGAAATGAAAAGTTTCAATAACCTTTTCATAATGAAAACGACATACCCCTCTCTTTTGGTATAATTCTGACTGTCCCAATCACATGTAAACTGTTCAGGTGTAATAGGACAAGGATTTGGTTTAAGAACAAAAGTGCTATATAGGCAGAAGCATTTTCTCTCCGACAATGGGGGCTTCTGGTTCTTCTCCATTATCACTCCATTAATCAAAGACAGAAGAAGAATGCTTAGAGGAAAGACCATAAGAACTTTGTTGACTCTTGAAAGATGTATTGGCACTTATGCATCAACCTTTGTGATAAAATAACTCTATCTTATGTGGGCTAAAAAAAGGGGTGGCATAGTTAATTACAATTGCACCTTGCTCCCAATTTTATATCTGGGTAGCTCACATCTACATTCTGCTACTCTCACATCTAGCTTGGTTGGTCTTCAAACATTACAATGGCTTTCAGTAAAGATGGAATCAAAAAAGTGGACTTTAGGAAAAAAAACAAAATTCCAGTGGTGGAAGCCTTCTGTTTAAATGCTTAAAAAAATCAGTCAAGAACATACCAGTGGTGGCGCTGAATAAATTCTGGGAAAGGAACAAAACATAAAACAAATAATTTATTAGAGGAGCATGCAAATTATCTCAAATCGTTCCTTGTAATCCCTTTCATTATAGAACCACAGTGCTTACTGCAAGCCACCCATTGCTAGAAATAAGCATTCCAGGACTCAGAAAAATAAACTGCTGCCAGTTAATTATAAGTTATGCAACATATTGAGTTGACTTGTGATGACCAAATACTTTCCCTTGATTTTGCCATTGGATATATAAGGTTCAATAATGGGTTCAATAATGCATAGTATTTTTCTATTGTTACTAAGTAGCTTTGACTACCTTGTGCATCTCAGACAAAAATGCAGCTTCTTTAGGCAGATAAAGATTCCAAATTTTACATTTGTGGCCTGTAGAATTTGTTGACAGCAAAGTAGGCTATGGATGACTAAAGGCCTTTCTATCATGATTTGATATCATGTCCCATTGTACCTGGTATTACATAAGGGCATTGTGTTTTTTCTAAATGAAATCTGGGTCAGTGACCTGTAATAAAGTTTGTCTTGACTTAAGGTTGGACATAGCAGTAGTTTTGCTTCATAGTACACATTATACATACAAGTGATTTTGCATTACATGTACAGCAGCACAAGTTGACATTTCTAGGTATGGAATAAGTAGTAGAGCTAAAATGGAAAACTTGGAAGTGGAGAATTAGCAATGATGACACAAGAGCCTCAAAGTAGAATAATCAGAAACAACAATTTATTGTAGTGAAGGGACCATTGGAAAGAAATCTAGCAGTTTGATACAGGGCGTTTTTTAAATTAATTTTCTTCAAAACTACAATTGAGGATTTGTTACAAATTACAAAACATCTGGGGTCTAAACAACTGCAGAAATAAACTATTGATCTGATCAATTTGCCTGCATCTGTGTCTTTGTGCTTTTTGCAGAGTATATTTAATAGGATATTTCAGAACTATCCAACAATCGAAACATCCAACACTGACACAACAGGAAAACCATTTCAAAACAAAAATGATCAACAGAGGGGCAGCAATTAGTCTTGTAATAAGCCTTGTAAGATTGTCCGAATACAGCCAAAAATATACATGAGCCATGAGAAATGTCTAGATTGTACGTGACTGTGATCTGATTGCCTAGCTTTCAACTAACAGCGACTCATCTGTTGGTCATTTTTGTTTTGAAATGGTTTTCTGTTGTGTCAGCGTTGGATGGTTTGATTGTTGGACTGCCTAGAGAATCTCTATGAAAATCATCAATACAGGATTTTGTGAAGTGCTAATTTGCATTGAATCTTTGCCATATTGATCAGTCAGCAAAGAAAAATTAAATACACCCAAAAGATGGTATATAGTAGTCTATCCGCTGAATAAGATCAATCATTTGCAGCTTTAAGGGTATCAAATTCTCCCTTCTCAGTAATGTACAAACATGACATAAAGAATTTGAATAAAAAACTGCAGGAGCTTTGTCTTTTAGCTCAATGGTAAGACAGTTCAACTTGAATAGCCTATCAAATGCAGCAATTAATATACTCATTGTTTGGAGCAAAAATAATAATAATAAGATATTTGTTTTTGATACATAGATTCATCACAACAAACTTAATGACTTTTTGCAACCTACAACTTCAGCAGCTTCTTTTACATTTCCACTGGTACTGTATTTATGGAATACAAACATGTATTTTATGTTACTTTTCAGATAGACAGTTATCCTATATCCTATGAGAGAGATAGAATAGAGACAAAGAGGCAGATAATATTGAAAAGGAGAAACAAGAGTTCTAGAAAAATGGGAGTGTGGCCATAGTTGAAGAAGTGGAAATTATTACAGTAGCTTCACTCCTTCTCCTATGTCACTGCAGACCCTTATTCTGTATAAATGGGGGGGGGGCAATTCAAATATTGTGTAAAGGGTTTAAATTCACTATAAAGAACAGGAGAATTCCTATCAAACAATACTCTACTGGTGATCTAGTCTTTCAGAGGCACCTGTGTTTTCAGCAATCTTACTCCTAAAAGTATAGATACCTTTGAAGATTGAAACAATTTTGTTACTACATGTCAAACATTAGATTATATTCCTTCTTTTATGGCAAAATATTTCTTTTAAACCCATAATCTACAAGGATTCATAGTGTAAGCATAACAAATTGGTGCTTGCCATTGTGAAAATAATATATTGGCTATATCGAGCTTTTTTCATTATCAGGATTTATTTTAATATATATTTACATCTAATTGAATATTCCGTAAGTATTATAACTATCCCAGGGGTGAAATCCAGCCGGTTCTATCCGGCTCGGGTGAACCTGTAGCAGCGGCTGCAGGAGGCTCCGCCCACTCACACGGATGTCATGATGTCGCTTTTTTGCGACATTTTAAGACTCTGTGCATGCGAAGAAGGCTTTGAGCATGCGCAGATGATGGCCTGCGCACATTGGCGAACCGGTAGGGAAGGTAAGTAAATTTTACCCCTGAACTACCCCCAATTAATTAAACACATTTTGAGCACTTATACCCTATTGTTTAAAAATCTTCTGACTAGTTTACTGAAGAATTTGTATTCAGATGATCACTTGTTTCCATATTATGGAAAGCACAACTAGTTAAATAAATGTGTCTTAAATGGTAGTGATCTTTATTTTGACTGAACTTCCATTGTTAAGGGTCTGAGAATGGTGAAACTATTATTTTTACTTAGTTTACCTTATTAACTTATTTTACTTTCTTCCAGGAGATTTACAGTTGTGTGAAAGAACATTAAGCATAGTTGAAAATTAACTTTTTAAAATCCTGCAAGAAATACCTGTCTTTATTGAGATTTTAACAGTCTGTTGAGAAAGTTGCATTTTCTATGATTCTTTTTAAAAAAAAGAACCATATGTTACATCTACTTCCATTAGTCAACTAAAGAATTTTTAGAGAAAAAGGAGAAATCCATTGCATAATAGTGTCTATTGACCACATAAAATCAAAGGTACAAGAAATATATTAAAATATTGCTAGCATATCCAAATGCAGAGGAAATACTTAGCATCTCAGACAGTCTCTGTAATTAAATCAAGATGCAACAGGAATGAGTAGACTGTTCCTTTATTATTGAGGATTAGGTGTTAGCAAGCAACTGAATAACAAAAGTTTTATTTAATTTGTGTAATAATAAAAAATTGGGTGGTTATAAAACAACCATCCAAAATATCATTAAAAATTTATACACTACGGAAACTTAACTCTTGAGCTAAAAATAACCTAACCCCACAAAATATTAAAAATCTATCATTTGGTATCAATGTGCTTTTCCAGCGGTAAGATTTTTTTTAAAAGCAAATCCCAGTTGGTTGACAAATAGTAGAACAAATCTGGAAGACTCTATTTAACTAAAATTTGCTACAGTTTGCCCAGTTACCATGCTCAGCTACCAATCTTTTTTTTCTTTCAAGAAGTTTAATTCTCACTGTAGAAACACCAAAGATGTCAGGGCTGATTATTATTGGGGTAGAAACAATTGCAATTTGCCATCCAAGGTAGCCGAAACGAGCTGTAATTTAAAAGAAAAGAGCCACGATTAGTTTATATATCAATGGGCCAAAACACCATGGAAAAGCTGCATTATGGAACATCCACATGAAAATGAAACACTTTATATCCATTTCAACATATGTTCAACAGGAACAAAGATTCTCTGCAAAAGTAGCCTACGTCCTATGAAACACGTCCTATGAAACACAGACTACAGCTTACTGAAACATTTTCTTCTTCTTCTCACAGCTGCAGAATTGAAAAGCTCTCACAAGGCAGCAGGGATCTCCTTTCACAGTTGAGATTAGACTGGATTAGAACTCATTACACTGCTGTAAATTAATTATGTTGCCATATGGTGCCATATGGATACCAATTTTTGTAAGCCTCTTCATGGCCTTGTATAGTTGTACTGTATAGCGGCATATTAAGTATTCTCATTGAATATACTGTATATCTCATGCCTTTTTTCTGCTGAGTAGCATATATGTCTCCTTATTAGTCACTTCTCCGTTCATAGCAGCCTTGTTGAGCCGGTTTTATTATGATATCCTATTTGTCCCAAAGTCACCCAATGTACATTGGTATTCATCTGGGATTTGAATCCAGGATCAAAACTAGGTAATATTTGAATAACAGACCATCCAGAAATTAGAAATAGGCAGAGCTGTAGGCTATTTGAAAACACATTTCAGAAGAATATAAGGGCAAATCATTTATTTAATCATCAGGGGTCAAATTTGATTAGAACAAAACTTGACCTTACTTTATACTTTGATCTAAATCAGATAATACAGCTGACTCTTACTTATGGAAATACACTGGAATTAGGCTAGTCCTTCATTAGGCTTTGGACAGACCAGGATTCTGCCAAATTGAAGCAAAAAAAGAAAAAAAAAGAAGAACTCTACATTGTCCTACTGTGAATCTGGATCATTCTGATATTTTGTGAAGAATTTGGAAAATCAAAGGCAAGCAGAACTATTATGTCTTCATAACTTCCAGTATTATTTTCTCAGATATAATACATTCCTTTTAATATAAAGGAAACATCAGTGAGAAGAAATGAAGAAGAAAGAATTGGAGATGTTCTTTTGTGACTGACGAACAAAGAGGCTTTTTGTACTATAGGTAACCATATACCTATAACCTATACATATACATATAACATATAACCATAATGTAGGGTGAGCTTCACTGACATGATACTTATGCTTCTGTGTTCTCTATAAGTCCCTCTTCTAACCAGGGTCATTAAAGTATTAAATATTTACAAGATTTTTGTTGTATTTTTATTTTTTCTGTATTTCTGACTCCCAAGACAAATTGCTAAAATTGGCCCCAACAAAATTTAGGTGTTGCTCTTGTATAAATCTCTGTGCATTATCTGCTGATATTGTGACACACTTCGGCACTCAGAAAAATTAGTCTACAAATCCCAATTTAAAAGCAGCCTGTACCAAAAATAAGAAAGATAGAGAACCTTCTTCCCACATTTTTATCTTCAACTGGAAATGTTCAGTCCCCCCAGAAATGAGATGAATTATGCCTATACATTTTATGTCTATGTCTCAAACTTAAGCAAAAGTAGTTTCATTTTCCTCCCTGCAATTAATGGTTAAGATGAAAGCTAATCTGAATGTTCCTGAAGCAAAGCTATCGGTCAAATTCAAGTTAAAAAAATGATTCTGAAGTGAGTCAAATCTAGATATCTGTTTTCCAAACCATCACAGAAGGTTCAAAATGTTATCTTGTGGTCAGTGTACATACTTGTTTATTAATTATTAATTTATCTAGAGGCTGGATGAACAATGCAATACAGTGATGCAACTCTCAATACAACAAATACTAGAAACTCAAACTTCCAAATTTAATGATAGTCTGTAAAAATAAAGGTCAACTAAAAGTTTATGACTAATTTCATGACTGCTTCATTCAATATATCGGATATACACATTCTTTTGCTGATAAATGGCTCAAGATATTTTCAGTCTGTTTTCAGAGTCCATTTTGAAGAAGGAAGAGGAGGGGGGAATGACTATAGATTTGAACATTTCTACTCAAAAAATGGAAAGCACTGAAGATCTGATTAGCATTTGGTGCATGCCATGTCAAGGCCCTTCTGTCCATTCAAACCATATGCATACCAATGTTAATTAAACCACCATGTCTGTTTTTTTTTTATTGAAAAAGTTTTCAAATACAAATTTTTCCCCCTTTTTTCCTTCCCCCCCTCCTCCCTAACCCCCCCTCGCCACCCATCCCCCCGTGACTTCTTCACACCAAAAACCTAATTCATAACAGATTACATAATATTTTACCATCGCCTTACTCCCTCCTCTATATACTGACCCTTACTTACTAAAAATATTATTAATATTGTTACTTTCCCCTTTTACCATACATTTCAAAAAAAAAGCAGTCTGCTATAACATTGTATGATAACTTCTAGTTTAGCATAATATTATTATAACTCCCAATTTAGCAATAATCTGCCCTTTTTGTCCTCCCCAAAACTTATATCTATATATTATTACAACATTTCAAAGCAACCTTCCACTTTAAGACTATATAATAAATCCTACTTTAACATTTATTCTTTGTGTATATTAATATAACATTTCAAAGCAGCCTTCCCCATAAATCCTAATTTAACATTTATTCAACTCTATCCATTTCCTCCACTGCCCTAAATATATCACTTAAACATCCCTTTTCTTAAGCTAATCAATCAGTAGACTAACATATTTCCACCCACTTTCCTACAAAATTACCATGCACAACAATTCTTAATATCTTTAATCCACTGCCCACTCTGCTAATATATATATATATATATATATATATATATATGTATATATTCCGTTATTTAAAAAAAAAAAGACAATAACTTTAAATTTATAATCCATATAATATCTTCTTTGATGTCTTTCCACTGGATTGTTGAGTCCCTCATCCATAATTGGGTAACGTAGCATCCTGGTGCAACAGTTTGTTCAAAGTCTTCAGTCATCATCTGCCCCCATCAGTAATGAATATCCTCATATATATATATAAGTAAAAACAACCACCCGAGTGACATTATGATTATATTCCATATAGTTGTAATTGTGGCTTTCATCAGGATTATTAATTCCCATCATTCTAATGGGTAACAACCAGATCTTCTGCATGCCCCAACGTAGCTCTCTTGCCTTGTAGCTCAGAATAGTTATAATATATTTATCAATACAAGAAAGAAATCCAAAATAGATAATTCAAATCCAACAGTTTAAGGCTCTTTTCACATCCCAAAATTACGGCATTGCAGAGGTCTGTCACTGTCCTCAGGATGATATTAACCAATACTTCGCCTCCACTATCTTTTCACATATTCATTCATTTTTTAAAAATCACTGGCTTCACCGTTGCTTAATTTAGAAATTTCTGTTTTTATGAGACCTATTTCTTTTTTTCTTTTCTTTTTGTGGGTTTAATTTCCATCCTGTTTTCCTTTCTACAAGTTGTATATCAACTGATCGGTTTTCATTCTGCTTTATAAGTTGATCTTGTTGGTTTTGTTTTTGTATCTCATATTTCTTTTTTGCCAATTGTATATCAGCTAATTGATTTCCATACTTATCTTTAACTTGGTGAATCATCACGTTGAAATCAGATGCCGCTTCTCTCATATTTGTAGATAATCCAGCTAGGGTATCGAGAGAATCCAAAGGCAATTTGTCTACCGCAACCTCTGTAATTCGATGTTTTCCCTTTATTTCCAACTCCTTTTGCTTATCCTGTATTGTGCCTATAGATGTTAAGTTCATTTTCAAAATTTTTTGATAAAATTCTTCCGCTTTTTCAACAGTATCTAATTGGTATCTTTCTCCTTGATATCTCAATATTATGCCAACTGGGGCATCCCACCTAAATGGAATATTTCTGTATTTTAGCTCAGTCACCAGAAAACCAAATTTCTTCCTTTCCGTTAACATCTTGGGAGGGAGCTCTTTGTAGATCCATATCTTTCTTCCATACAATTGCAAAGTAGAATTGAAGGAATTTTGCACAATATTATTCCTAATTTCTTTATCTGTAAAATAAATCACCACATCTCTAGGCAATTGCCTTTGCTTTGCAATCCAGGAGTTTATTCTGTAAACTCTGTCAATCCTACAAAACACTTCCTCAGGTTGAACCTTTAAAATCCCGGCCAGAATTTCAGAAGATATTTTCCTTAAATCATCTCTGTTATTTTCCTGCAAACCTCTGAGTCTGATCGCATATTCTGTAAAATTGTAATGCACCATTAGGACCTCTCTTTCAATCCGTTGTTGTAAATTTTCTGCATTACAAGACTTTTGTTCAACCTCCATTTTAGGTTTTTCTTCTGAGCTATTGTCTTGAATGTTTGTCAAATCATTTTCAATTTTTTGTATTTTATTATCCAAATTGTCCTCAATTTCTTCCACTTTAGACTCTAATAAGTTAGTATTTTCATCCAACTTAATCATAAATTCTGCAAAGCCATTAGCCATTTTTATAATCTTTCGATCCAGAATATCAAACTTTAATTGCACTAATTCTTTAATTTCCTGCTTAAATTTTTCAAAGTTCTGATTCACAATCTCATCCCTTCTTACAATCTCCTCCAAAAGAAATTCAATTATATTAAAATCAGTTTTCTGAGACTGGAGCTTTAAAACTTGATCACGTAATTTGTTAATGGGGGAATCCCCCCCCCATTGCTTGTTTGTCCGGCTTTAATGCCATATTTCAACACAGACAAACTATTTTTTTTAAAAAAAAAGAAAAGAGAGGCAGCAGAGAAAAAAAAACTTCTTTCCAACCAAGATCAATATCAGATCTCCAGGAAGAGAAAAAACACAAAAGTAGAGCTTTATTTTCAAGTGTAGCCAAAAATATTTATTCAGCTACTTTGTATCTCAATAGGAAACGGAAGGATTCTCCCTTTTAGCCCCTTCTCAAGCCTCGGCAATCGCCCTTTTTAAAGATTCTTTTTTTCCTTTTCCTTTT